TAGTGCTGCTCCCGGGGCACCAGCTCCTTGCTCAGGTACACAATGGGGTGTCTCTCCCCCTTAGTATCAGTCTGCATCAGCACCGCCCCCAGCCCTGTGTCTGTGGTGTTGGTGAACACCAGGAAGGGTTTGTTAAAATCTGGGTTTACCAGCACTGAGCCCTGGATAAGTGCCCCCTTCAGCGCACAGAGAGCCCTCTGGCACTGCTCGGTCCAGACCACCTTGTCCGGCTTTCCGTTCCTACACAGCTCCGTGAGGGGAAATGCCGGAGCTAAAGTGGGGCACAAACCTCCAGTAGTACCCTGCCATCCCAATGAAAGCCTGGACCTGCTTCTTAGTCTGGGGAGTGGCCAAAATCCTGGATTGCCTCCACTTTGGCCGGCTCTGGCTTCAGGTGGCCTCCCCCCACCTTGTGACCCAGGTAGGACACCTCTGCCATCCCCACCTTGCACTTTTCAGCTTTTATGGTCAGTCCTGCACCCTGGAAGCGACCCAGCACCCTCTTCACCTGGGACACACGCTCTTCCCAGGTTTGGCTAAAGACACAGATATCATCAATATATGCCAGAGCAAAGTCCTCCATCCCCCTTAGCAACTGATCCCTCAGGCGCCTGAAGGTGGCAGGTGCCCGCTTGAGGCCGAAAGGCAGGATGAGGAACTTGAAGAGCCCTATTGGGGTGGTGAAGGCAGACTTCCAGTAACCTTTGGCAAGATCCATGCTAGTGAGGAACTGGGCACCCCACAACTTGTCTAGGATCTCATCGGTCCTAGGCATGGGGTAGGCATTGGACACGGTGATGGCATTGAGTTTCCGATAGTCCACACGGAACCGGATCAACCCGTCCTTCTTGGGGACCAGCACCATAGGTGGCGGACGGCTGGATCACCCCTAAAGCCAGCATATCCCCAACCTCTCTCTCCAGGTCCTGGGTTTTTTCCCAGTGACCCTGAATGGAACACCTGCCAGTGGACAGCCAGGTTAGTGAGCCGAGGCCGGTTGGAGAACAGCTGTCGGTATGAATGCAGCACCTCTCTGATCTCTGCCTGCTGGGCAGGGCTTAGCTGGTCTGAGAGGGGAATTGATTCCAGCGAGGGGTTAGCCCCAGACACAGGGAGGAGTCCCACCAGGGGGTCCTCTCCCTTCTCCTCCCACTGCCCACACACAGCCAGCACCAACTTCTCCCTGTCCCAATATGGTTTCATCATGTTGACATGATATCCCCAGGGGCTGTGTGCCCGGCTGGACAGTTCCACTAGATAGTTCACCTCATTTACCTGTCTGATGACCTTGAAGGGGCTGTCCCAGGCTGCTTGCAGCTTGTTCTTCCTCATGGGGATGAGGAGCATCACCTGGTCCCCGGTAGCATAGGCACGGGCACGGGCTGAGCGGTCGTACCAGACCTTCTGCTTCCTCTGGGCCCTTGCTAGGTTTCCCCTAGCCAAGCCCATGAGCTCCATGAGCTTTTCACAGAAAGTCAGTGCATACTCCATCAAGTCCAGGGGCCCCCTCACTCTCCTCCTATACAGCAACGAGGAAGGGGAAAACTCTGTGGATTCCTTGGGCACTTCCCTGTATGCGAACAGCAGGTGGGGTAAATACTTGTCCCAGTCCTACAGGTGCTGGTCCATAAAGGTTTTCAGCATCATCTTTAGGCTCCCATTGAACCTCTCCACCAGCCCGTTGGACTGAGGGTGGAAGGCCGAGGCCTAGGTGTGTCGGACCCCACACTTACCCCACAATCACTGGAGCAGGGTCGACATGAAGTTAGACCCCTGGTCTGTAAGGACCTCCTTGGGGAACCCCGCTCTGCTGAAGATGGTCAGCAGCATGTCTGCCACGGTGTCTGCCTCGATAGAGGACAAGGCCACCACCTTGGAGTAGCGCGCAGGGAAATCTACCACCACCAGGATGTATTTCTTCCCTGACCGGGTCACCCTGCTGAAAGGCCCCACTATGTCCACGGCCGCCTTCTGGAAAGGCTCCTCTATGATGGGCAAAGGTCTCAGCGGGGCTTTACACTTATCCCGAGCCTTCCCCACCCTCTGGCATCACAGGACCTGCAATACTGTTGGACAGCATCAAAGACCCCGGGTAAAAGTTCTGCAACAGCTTTTACCGGGTGCACCGAATACCCATTTCAAGTGTCTCCTTGCTACAGGCACCTTGACGGGGGGCCCAAACACTCCCTTCAGAGTCATGTAGGCATCGGGCACTAGCTGGTCTGGGCCCACCACCTTGGACCCCGCCAGCGTCACCTCTGCACCCATGTCCCAGAACCCTTGAATGCTCCTTCCCCCCACCTCAATGGGGATGATGTCACGATCGTCCCCTGGGGCCTGTCCCACGCTCACCCGGTGGAGTGAGTATGGGCACTCCGGACCTGGGGCCCCACCTTCCCCTGCTGGCCTGGCCTGGCGGTCCCCTCCCTCCAGCACAGCCCTCTCGACTGCCGCCTCCTGGACCGGCTATGCCCCCTCTCGGTTCCACCCAGTTAACATTCCGTGGGTTCTGCTTGGCCATTTTCTTCATCTTCAGGCATTGTACCACCTTGTGTCCCTTTTGGCCATGGTAAGTACATTTCAGGTCCCTCAAGTCCCATGATGGGTTCGGCCCACTCCAGCATTCCCAGGCACCCCTGAGTTGGGCTTCCTGAAGTCCCACCTTTGATAGGTCTCTGGGTGACTCCCCTTCTGAGTCCCCGATGTGGGTCTCCCTCTTGTCCCCTATCTGCTGTCCACAAACTCATCCGCCAGTGCACCAGCACTGCGCAGATCTTTGGGCTTCCGGTCCACTAGCCGCATCTTAAGGTCCGGAGGGCAGATGTCATACAGCTGCTCCAACCCCACCAGGTTATACACATCCTCTGTGGTAGTGGCCCCTGTGCCCTTCCCCCACTTGCGGAGATATTCCCCCAGCAGATTGACGACCTCCTTGTAAGTGACACCTGGGGTTTTGCGCACACCCTGGAATCGTTTCCTGTACGCCTCGGGGGTCAGTTCAATCTTCAGCAGCAAAGCCTCTTTGAACAGGTCGTAGTCCCCTGTCTCAATCCCATCCATTTGGCTGAATGCCTCTTTGGCCTTGGGACCCAGCACGGGGGTCAGGCAGCGAAGCCTGTCTGCGGGATCAATCTGGTACAGATCACTAGCCTTCTCACCCCCCCTCCTTGAACTGGGGCAGCAGTTTGGTGGATCTGGAGTCTGTTCCTCAGACGGGTCATTCTCTACAAGCTGAGCAATCAGCCGCTCCTTAGTGAGCCTCCCCACGCTCAGCCCCCTCTCCCTGCACAGACGTGCCAGGTCCCTCTTACGGAGCTGGTTCTAGGCCATCTCCAGTCTTGTTCCTTTCAATTCCCTGGTTTTATTGCTAGCCACCACTCTCTGCAAAGCGCCTGCTACCACGTTGTCATGGACTCACAGATCGTGCGCACTCTTGGCCCCGTGTGGTCCGTGGAGGGAACCCCCTTCAGGGCAACAGCCCTTCTCGGGGGTCCACTCTCTCCCGGAGGTTAAGCCCCTCCATCTCCTCAAACCGCACCTCTCTGAGCCTTAGCATGTCTGTCTCTTGCCGTGGGCCCCCTCAGGTACTCCATTCACTCTGGACCTCTGGGGCCTCCACTCCCAGAAGGAATAATGCCACCCTGTTCTCTAGACTGGAGTGACTCTCAGCCTGTGTAAAACAGGAGGGGTTATTGAGCGTCTGAACACAGCACAGGAAACTCTCAGGGCCTCAGGCCTGGCCTCTCTCAGCCCAGCACATCCCAGTCTCCCTGCATCCAGGTGGGCTCTGCCTGCTCTCTCTCTCCAGCCCAGAGCCCCTCTGTTTTCCAGCTGGGCATCTGAGATCCCCGGCCCGAAGCCCCGCCTCTGTCCATTGTCTTCTCTCCAGGGAAACAGGTTGCCTGGGCCTCCTCGCCTCTCATCCGTCCTTTGTTCCCCACTGACTAGAACCAGCTGGTCAGGTTACCAGGGTCCTCTCTCCGCAGCCCATTCTCCTCCCACTGGCGAGAACTGGCTGCAACTCCTGAGCTGGGCCTCCCAGTCAGCCGTCGCTGGGGTATCCATTCTCCAGGCCGTTCACTGGCCCTCTGTAAAACAACCCCCCTCTTCCACCACCTCGTTAAACCAGTAACACCCAAGGAAATTGAGTCCCGCCCCCTCTGCATGCAAACCATTGGAAACAACAAGAAACCCCCCTGCTTGTTCACATTGCCACCAACACCCGGTGTTGAGCTCCACCCAACCTGAGGCCCGAGTGAGAGCGGAATGAGGAACTGCGCTGGGGGCTGCAGCCCCAGGAAGCCCGTGATGCACTCGGCCCATTTCTTCTCATCCCTGCAATCTCGAGGGCAAATCTACTTGGTCAGAGCAAAGCCAGCTCCCTGCCATGCCCAGCAAACCACAGCCCCTCCTGCAGCTGCCTGGTCCCCTGCTCCCACCATCACCTCCCAGCCCCACATGGGAGCTGTCCACTCCGGGGACGATCTGGGAAAGGGGGAATCTCAAGATATGTTAAGAAGTACCCAGGCTCAGGCTGCCCTCACCTTTTCCAACAGGCCCATCTAGCCTCCCTGGAGCAGCAGCTTAGAGCAGAGGAGGGCTTCCTCCCCACCTGTCCCCCGAAAGGAGCGACCCTCTCCTATGGAGCAGGGCAGAGATTCCTTCCTGACCCAACTGGTCCCAGTGCCAACCCTGGAGCATGAGGGTGGAGGGGCCTGGCCAACCTCCTTCTCAGGTACTATTGCTATAGATACTGTTCTTAGCACAGTGGTGTGAGACAGAGACAGGACAGGGGGTAGAGGTTTCTGGCCCCCACAATGGGACGGGGGAGGGATAAATTTAGATCCTAAGTTGCTAAAGCAGCAACCGAAATATCTGTGAAAAGGAGAAGTGTGTCCAGAGCCGGCACTCGCTTGCTAATTCTGCTACTCCCAGTGAAACTCAACATAAACCTGATTCCCCGGCAGCTCCCCATCTCCCCCAGGTGTGACACACTCCCCTGGCGCCGGGACAGGGGTTGGGGGCTGCCCGGGGGGGCTGGTTTAATGATCTGTGTTTATTACAAAGCTGGAGGTTAACAGGATGCAAAATAACATCAAAGCTGCCTTGATGCGTCTCCTACCCATCCCGGTGCTGAGCCCCCCCTTCCCCCCACATGTGGGTCTGCGTGGGGCAGGGGGACAGAATCTTGATGGGACAGGGCTGCAGCGCGGGGAGGGCAGCGTCCCCCCTAAATCTTCCCTAGATGCAGAGTTCTCTGGGGCTGGCGCTGTTGGGGCGTGAGGCTGTTGCCCCCTGGGGTCTGGCGCCCCATGGCTGCGGGGGGCTCTCACTCCGGGACTCCCTGGTTCACGTTGATCACACCATACACACTGGGCTGCAGCGTCTGGCCGTCCAGCTCGGCGTAGGTGTCGGGTTCGGGATCCTTGGGATGGGAGGGGAGAGAGTCATTCATGTGTGTGTGTGTGCGCGCGCACGCATGCACCAAACACCCCGCCACACACATACAGAGCAGGGCCCATCCCCTCCAACAAGGGGCGACAGGGAAACACACACGCACACCCTGCAATCCCAGCTGGTGATCCCATAAGCCCACCCTCCTCCCTATAGCCCGACCCCCACCCCAAACCACTGAGTGTTCCAGGAAAGTCTGGGAGGGGATGTGAGAGGCCTGCTGGGGCCCTTGGGGGTCAGGCCCATGGGGGAACAGGGGACACTTACCAGGGTCTGTGGCTCTTTCCCTTCGTCCATGGAGGCGTCTGCAGAACAGAGACACCGGCTGAGCTTCACCCCCGGCCGGTCCCGAGCAGAACCCCAAACCCAGCTCTGACGCCTCTGTCCAGCCAGTGCGGTCAGAGCCCGGCACAACCACCCCTCCTCCGCCCCAGAGCATGGGCCAGGGTCATTAGCCCCATGTTACAGAGAGGGAAACTGAGGCACAGAGACGATGGCAGAGTCTAGGGCAGGGGTCAGCAACCTTTCAGAAGTGGTGTGCTGAGTCTTCATTTATTCACTGTAATTTAAGTTTTCGCGTGTTGGTAATACATTTTAACGTTTTTTAGAAGGTCTCTCTCTATAAGTCTGTATATAATATCACTAAACTACTGTTGTATGTAAAGTAAACAAGGTTTTCAAAATGTTTAAGAAGCTTCATTTAAAATTAAAATAAAATGCTGATCTTAAGCCGCTGGCCTGCTCCAGCCCACTGCTGGCCTGGGTTCCGTTCATCTAGGCCAGCAGCGGGCTGAGTGGGGCCTGCGGCCGGAACCCCGGCTGGCAATGGGCCGGCAGCCAGAACCCCAGGTTGGCAGCGGGCTGAGTGGGGCTGGTGGCTGGGACCCCAGCTGGCAAGGGGCCGGCAGCCAGAACCCTGGGCAGGCAGCCAGAACCCCAGGTTGGCAGCGGGCTGAGTGGGGCCGGCACCCCAGACCAGCAGCAGACTGAGCTGCTCAGCCCGCTGTCAGTCTGGGATTCCATCGGCTGGCTCCTGCCAGCCAGGGTCCTGGCTGCCAGCCCCGCTCAGCCCGCTGCCAACCTGTGTGGGGAGTGCAGGAGTCAGGGCAGGGGGGGTGGGGGTGGGTATGTGTGGGGAGTGCAGGAGTCAGGGCAGGGGGTGTGGGGGGAGGGAATGTGTGGAGGGTGCAGGAATCAGGAATGGGGTCATGGGGGGATGAAGGGGGCTGGAGTGCAAGGGGGTGCAGGGGTCAGGGCAGAGGGCTGGGGGGTGGGCTGGGATCAGGGGGGTGCTCCCAGCCCCTTGCCCTGAGCAGCTGGAGGCTGGAGCAGGGGGCTGGAGGGATGCGCTCTGCTCCTACCCTCTTCCCAAGGCCCTGCTCCTGCCTCCTTTCCCCGCCTCCTTACGGGTCTGAGCAGCGCGGGCGCTGGGTCTGCTCTTCCCCCCTCCCTCGCAAGGGCCATCGGCAGCAGGGGGGGAGAGGAGGCGGGGCTCCCCGCACACGCTGGGGGAAGAGGCGGGGGAGGGGGAAGCTTGGCTGCGGCGGAGCCTGCCCTACAGCAGCAGCTGGCAGGCCCCCTGCTCCCGCCAGAGAGAGCGGTAGGCGGGGTGGGGGCGGAGAACAGCGGGCTGGGTCGGGCAGGATTTTTAATGGCCCGCTGCTGCCTGCCGGGGTCTGGCTCAGCCCGCTGCTGGGGTTCGGCAGCGGGCTGAGCGGGACCCGAGCAGGCAGCAGCGTGCCATTAAAAATCGGCTCGCGTGCCGTCTTTGGCATGCGTGCCATAGGTTGCCGATCCCTGGTCTAGGGGGTTACGGTGGGGTGGGAGGGGGGCTGGGAGTCAGGATGCCTGGGTTCTCTCCCCGGCTCTGGGTGGGGAGTGAGGTCTAGAGGTTAGAGCAGGGGGCTGGGAGCCAGGAGTGGATGGGGATTCCCTGTAGGTCACTGGCTGGGAAGATCCGATGGAGATTTGAAAGGGGGGACACAAAACCCCCCGGCCTGGAGGGAAGAATGGGGGGCACACAGAGGGAGACCATGAACTAGAGGGGGAGCCCCCAAAAGCCCCTCCCTTCCCCAGGGGTCATGCCCCACTCTGGTACCCCCTTGGGCGTGTTACTCACAGATGGGGTCTTCCTGAGCCGGGGCCTTCAACACCCCCAAAGGGCTGGCATTAAAAGAGAGAAAATCCCTTTGTAAATGTCATATCCACCCATCTGCAGGGAGATTCCCCAACACAGCCAGAGAGCCCCCCATCCTGCCTCACACTGAACCCTGTTCCCTAATTCAACCTTGTCCCAACCACTACACCCCACTCCCCTCCCAGACCAGGGAGAGTCCTGGCTCCCAGCCACCCTGTTCTAACCACTTGCCCCCACGCCCCTCTCCAAGGTGGGACAGAACCCAGGAGCCCTGTGACCCCGGCAGGCCGATCGGGAGGGGGAGGAGCTGGGTTCCTACCTGCTCGGTCTCGGTGCGGCTCCTTTTCCTGCAGAGGGAAACAAATCAGAATCCCCCATGAGCCGATCAGGATCCCCCAGTTCCAGCGCCCGGCCACTCACCCCCCACAGGGGAGCAGGGATGGAGGGCCTGGGGGGGTTCCCTCTGCTGCTGGTGCTGAGCCTGGATCCCTCCTGGGCTGGGCCAGACCATCAGGGGGCAGCACAACACCAGAGCATGCACCGGGGGGAGGGGCAGATTAACTCGGGGGCTTTTCCTGTCCCCAATCCTCCATCGTTAGTGACTTGTTATAACAAACCTGATCCAGGCCGGTCGGTTCCCCTGGCACCCCATGTACCCGAGAAGCTCTTTATACAGGGACCCTTAGCCCGGCACTGAGACGCAGCCACCTCTGGGGTGGGACAGGTGCGTGTGTACAGGGATTACACATGCAACAGTGTCCTCTGCTGAGCCCCCCGCACTCTTTGACCTTCCCTGCACAGTCCCCCATCCCAGCCGTGACCCCATCCCGCCCTTCTTAGCGGCAGGTTTAACCCTTCCCTCGCTGGGTGGGGCACTCACTGGCTCGGGTTTTTCTGAAGCAGACGAAGGCCACGAGGAGGAGGAGGAGGACGGCGGCTGCTGCGCTCACCCCGGCGATGATGCCGCTGGTCGGTGCCGGCGATTCCGATCCGCCTGGGAAATTGCAGCAGCCTGAGTGCCGGGAGCAGCTGGTCTGTCCCCCCCCCGGCCCCTCCCACCCCAGGTGGCGCCCAAGGGCAGCAGAAAATTTTATGGGGAGGATGTCAGGGGCCCTGAGGAATCAAGTGGGGTCAGAGCCAGCAATATTTGACGGATTTAGGTGCTCGGGACACTCGGGTGCAGGGGGCTCAGTAGGGGGCGCTCTCCCCCGGCAGTCAGGCCTTCCCCAATGCCCCAGTGTGGCACTAGGGGGTGCTGTCTGAGTAACCATTTCCAGTCTCGTCCCCTGCACCCCCATGCTTCACGGTGCCATGACACCAGTCAGGCCTGGCCACACCAATTCAGCTCTGGCTCTGAGCGTCCCGTCAGTGCACAGCTCCCGCCCCACCAAGGGTGTGGGGCTGGGAGCGGGGACACTGAGCCGGGCCGCTCACCTGCTACAACCAGCTGCACAGGTTCACTGGGCTCTGAGGAGATGAAGGGCTCTGATCGGGGCCGGTAGCTGCAGTTGTAGCTCCCTCCATGCTGCCGGCCCACGGTGGGGATGCGGAACTCGGCCCCGTCCCCAGCAGGGTCCATGTGTTGCTGTGGGTTCTGGTCTCCAGCCTTGTGCAGGAAGAACCTCACGTCCCGGCGCTGCCCCTGACACCGGATGGTGACGTCTGCCCCTGGGGCGGTGACCCCAGTGGGGCTCAGAGATATGGAGGGTCTGGGTAAGCTGGGATCTGCGCACAGGAGACAGGCTGTGAGAACCAGACCTGGGCACCCACCCAGCCCCGGCCTCCCCGGCCGGCCTCAGCCCCAGGCAGATCCAGGGTCCCTAGACAGAGATTCTCTCCCAGATCGCAGAGTTCCCCCCACCCAGAATCCCGGCCCTGCGAGCTGGGCACCCAGCCCCACAGACAGCGAGCCGCAGCTCCCTAGTTCTTGGGATCCTCATATACCTGTATCTGATCCCTGCCTCACTCACTGCGTCCGGCCTGCCCTGGACAGAGCGACTCATGGGCTGGTCTCTGGCGCCCGGCACCGCAGGGCCCAGGGTTGCCGGTGTCCAGTTTTCAGCCAGAAAGTGGACTGAAAAGGGAACCTGGCAGTGCCGCTGACCGGACACTGTCTCATTCCCTGCAGTACCCAGCCTCTGCCACCAGGGGGCAGGAAGAGCAGCAGCTGCTGGAGCCTGGAGGAGCAGTGGAGCTACTCAGCAGGGGCCCTGATTCACTCCCTGCCCCCCTCACCCCCCCACCGCCACAGCGTGGCTCCCCCTCCCTGCCACATTCATCCCCAGCCACCCCCTCCCCCACCCTGACCCACTCACCCCTGGAGAGCAGCTCCCCCTCCCTCCCCCCTCACCCCCACAGCGTTGCTCCCCCTCTCCCACCTTCCACCCACCCTGCCCCACTCACCCCCACCCGTTCCCCCTCCCCCTCCCCACTCTACCCCCGCCCCCAGAGCTCGGGTCCCCTCCCCTGCCCAACTCACCCCCACCCCGGGAACGTGGCTCTCCCTCCCCTACCCCTCTCACCTCCCCACCCCTGGAGCATGGTTCTCCCTCCCCCACCCTCAATCCTGGAGCGTGGCTCACCTGGCACGGGGAAGTGGTGGAGAGAGCAGCGAGTGACAGTGGAGGTGGGGGGGGAAGAAGCAGGGGGCGGGACCTTGGGGACGAGGCGGAGCAGGGGCTGGGAAAGGTTCCCGCACTCAGTGTCCGGTTTTCACAAATTGGAAAGTTGACCACCCTAGCAGGGCCTGAGCCCCGCACAGGAATGGAGTTACCCCCAGGGAGGCAGGGAGGGGTCATTATCCAAATTCTACATGGGGGGAAACTGAGGCACAAACAGATTCACTTTCCTCAGTGAGCTCCCAGGGGCAGGGACTATCTCTTCACTCTGTGTTTATGCAGCGCCTGGCACAATGGGGCCCTGATCATGGCAGGGGCCCTACATCCTCCCCCGACACAGGGGATCCCGCTCTATTGAGGCCAGTATTTGCAGAGGTCTCCACTAACTGTGGGCGTCTCGGTTTGTGGGCGCTCGGCCTGAATCCCCCAAGATTGAGGCCCCCCCACAAGGAAGGACACTTTTGAAAACCGCGATGGGGTTCCATCACACAGTGTTTGTGACCACGCCAGGAGCTGGGCCAGATCTCCTGGGTCCCAGCTCAGCACCGTGTCCACCAAGCCACCGCTTCTCCTGCAGCCCCTGCCTCATTCAGCCCTGGCCGGGGCACTGCCTGGTGGGGCCTGGAGAACAGGGGGGAGGGGATCACGGGATTAAATAGCGACTCACGGTTCCTACGCACAAGGGGCAGCGTTAAAGTCGCCTCCCTGCCCCGAACCTCCAGGGGCTGCTGCTTCCCCTGGGCTGGGGAACCCCCCAGTGACTCCATCTCCATTCCCCGGCCGGGAGTCCCCTCTGCGGGGTCAGGGCTCAGGGCAGAGCCTGGCTCTGAGTATCCCATTGGCACCGAGCCCCCGTGAGGGTCTAGCTGGGGGTGGGGCTGGGAACGGGGACGCTGAGCCGAGCCCCTCACCTCTCACCACCAGCTCCACGGGGTCGCTGGGGTACGACACGGCGAACGGCTCCGATCTGCTGTGATAGTAGCAGCTGTAGCTCCCACGGTCCTCCCGGCGCACATTGCTGATGGAAAACACAGCCTCATTGTCGTCCGAATCCACAGGTGGGAAATGGCGTCGCTCTTTATTCAGCACGAACCGCACGCCCCGGCGCTGCCCCCGACACCAGACGCTCACGGCTCCCCCCAGGGAGACTCCCCCGCTGGGGCTCAGGGAGATGCTGGGTTTGGGGTAGCTGGGCTCTGCAGTGGGAAGCAGACAGGCCGTGAGACGCAGGCCCCATCACTCAGTCCTGGGGCCCATCCTCACCACACGGCTTTAGTGGTGGGTCAGACCTGGCGGCCCTGGGGACGGGCTCCTGGATGCCTTTCCACAGGGGCCAGTTTCCTCTGAGCCCTGGGCTAGCAGCATGAGACACAGAGCAACCCCAGCCCCTAGGGGCCCAGAGCTCTGCTCCCTAGCGGGTGACAGGCCAGTCCTGTCTCCAGGGTCCATTCACTCCCTGGTTTCTCTGCTGGGAGTGCTGGGAGCCAGGACTCCTGGGTCCTGTCCCCAGCTCTGGGAGTGGAGTGGGGTGTAGTGAGGAGAGCAGGGAGGATGGGGGCCAGGACTCCTGGGTTCTGTGCACAGCACCACCAACTTGTAGGGGACTGTGCAAGTCTCTACTATACACTGAGGTTTATAACCTTCAGCTCTGCCCATCACCCCCTAACTGATGTGTTGCCTGGGAAAGGCCCCTCTGCTCTGCAGCTCCCTTGGGGGCCTGAATCCCTCAGCCCTGAATCTCCAGTGGTTGCTTCTCCCCCTGGATGGGGAAGCCCCAAATGACTCTGTCCCTGCTCCCCGGCCGGGCGTCCCCTCTGCTGGGCCAAGGGTCTGTCTGGGTGTGGAGCTGAGAGCTGGGACCCCCAGCCCGGTCTGGATCCGAGTCATGGGGATAATAGCAGGTGTTGCTGCCTCCGTCTGCCCGGCTCGCTTTGGGGATGGGAAATTTGATCCCAGCCGAGTCCCCGCCCGGCGCTGCTGCGTTCCTGGCCCCAGCCTTGTCCAGAACAAACTCCAGACCCCGGCGCTGACCCCGACACCGGATGGTCACGGCTCCCCCCAGGGTGACCCCCCCGTGCTGGGGCTCAGGGAGATGGAGGGTTTGGGGGAGCTGAGCTCTGCAGTGGGAGGGAGATGGGGCGTGAGACAGACCCCGGCACGGCCACTGTGCCCCGTCCCCAGCATGGAGCGTCAGTGATGGGGCAGAGACAGGGTCAGGGTCTCCCCTGGGATCCAGGTCACCAAAGCGCCACGGGGCTGAGATATCCCCCCTCCACCCAACCTTCAGTGCTTGGGCTGGACGTCCCATCTGCTGGGGCCTGGCTGGGTGTGGGGCTGGGAGACGAGGTGCTGGGCTGGGCCCCTGACCTGCTACAATGATCTGCACAGGGTCGCTGGGCTCCGAGTAGGCAGTTTGTATTGTTCTGTTGCTATAACGACAGGTGTAGCTGCCACCGTGTTCCCGTCTGGCGCTGGTGATGGGAAATTCAGCCATATAACCAGCAGGGTCTGTGTAATTCAGATACTTCCCAACTCCAGCCTTGTAGAGGAGGAACCTCATGCCCAGGTGCTGATGCTGACACCGGATGGTGATGTTTCCCCCCACGGGGATCACCCCACCGGGGCTGACGGAGATGGAGGGTTTGGGGTAGGACCCCTCTGGATTCACAAACAAACAGGCAGTAAGTGGGGGTGACACAAATCGCGTCCGTCTGATTCAATCCTCTGCCCATCTGTCGCTCCAGCGTTTCACCCCCCGCCTGTCCCTGGGGTGCAGGCCTGACCCCGCAGCTCACAGCCAAGGAGACACACGGGGGGGGGGGGAAAGGAGATTTCCAATCTCAGATTCCTTTAGTTATTCAGGGTCAATTCAGCCCTGCCCCCGCTGCAGTCACGGGGTGACTCCTGATTAACCCCAAAGAGCTAAGATCAGAACTTGTCCCTGCCCCTGCCCCTGCTCCAGTCAGGCAGTGGGGGGATTGGGATCTACCCTTTGGGGTTCCTGGTCCAAATTTGGGTTATTTGAGCAAGCGGTTCCCAGGACAGCCCCCTCAAGAAAACATGTTTACAAAATCCCCCAGTTGTTCTAACAGGTGCCCATCCCTCTAATGAGTGGGGCGAGGTCTCTGTCCCCACCTCTGGGTGTGGGAGGGAGCGTGTGTCTGACAGGATCATCTATTTCGGGGATCTGTGCCCCTCACCCCGCACCCAGATCCCTTCTCCTTAAAGCGGAAATTCCCCCAGCTGCCCCATTCCCCACAGATACTCACGTCCCGACACCCCGCTCCGCCTGGCCAGCCAGCAGCCTGGAGAAGAGATGGGTCATTAGTGACCAGATCCCAGAGCAACTGGATCCTACACCCTGGTCTCAGATGCCCCCCATGGGCACATGCCCTGGTTGTCTCCGATACTCACTGAGGAGGAGGACGGTGAGAGCAGACACCATGATGGGACAGTGGGGGACCTCTCAGCGCTACCACCAATGCTCTGGTGCCCAGCTCCACCCAGTCTGAGGCCTGAGTGTGAGCGGAATGAGGAACTGCACCGGGGGCCGCAGCCCCAAGAAGCCCGTGATGCGCTCGGCCCCTTTCCTCCCCATCAGATGGTTTCTCTGCAATCTCCAGCCCAAATCTACCGCGGTCAGAGCAAAGCCAGCTCCCTGCAACACCCAGCAAACCACATCCCCTCCAGCAGCTGCCTGGTCCCCCAACCCCCCATCACCTCCCAGCCCCACATGGGAGCTGCCCAGTCCGGGGACCAGCTGGGAACGTGGGACTCTCAGGAGGCATCAAGAGGTGCCCAGGCTGCCCTGACCTTTTCCAACAGGCCCTTCTAGCCTCCCTGGATCAGCAGCTCAGAGGATGCCCCCCCCACAGTGCCTCTACAGAGCGACCCTCTCCCATGGAGCGGGGCAGAAATTCCTTCCTGATCTGGCTTGGCCCAGCACCCGCCCTGGAGCATGTGGGTGGAGGGGCCTGGCCAACCTCCTTCTCAGGTACCGTTGCTGCAGACGCTGTTCTTACCTGAGTGACGTGGCACAGAGACAGGACAGGGAGATGGGGGTTGTGGTTTCTGGCCCCCGTGAGTGGGGGAGGGAGGGATAAATGTAGATCCTGAGTTGTTAAAGGCAGGGTTACCATTCGTCCAGATTCTCCCGGACATGTCCGGCTTTTTAGATTAAAAATAGTTTCCGGGGGGAGGAGGGGGGAATTTGTAAATATCTTAAAATGTCTGGCATTCTCCGCCCCTGCAGAGCACGGCGCGGGTGATAGGGTGGCCGGCTGGATTGAGCCACTAGCATGGGGCTCTAGCAGCCAGAGCGTCTCCTCCCCTTCCCCGTTCCTCTCCCCTGCAGCTTCAAATCACTGGCCAGGTGGCCTCCGGCAACTCTAGAGCTCCTCCTCCCCCTCCTCCTCCCCTGCTGCCCAGCGTGCTGCTCCCTGGGGAGAGAACCTGCTTTTGCAGGGGGGAGAGAACCGCCCCGCAGCAGGGAAAACAGAGGGTTTAGCTCCTGTCTGGAGCCCAGGTGTCCCTTTCCTCGCAGGGCGCTGGTCGTGTCCTCGCTGGAACGGAGCAGGGGCAGGGGGAGGGTGACTGTGGGGTACATGACCGATGGAAAGGAAGCCTGGCAGCAGTAGTCATGCCCAGCCTGGTGCTGGGCGCTGGGGGATAGATTTTGGGGAAGATTTAAAAAAACAAAGCCCCAGACAGATGATGGTTAGAGGCCTTGGGGGGGTCCCCCCCATTAATGTCTTCTGAAGTCTCCCCAGCCCCAGGCCCTCTGAGCCAGTTGTGGCTGTGTCCAGATGCCCCCTGGAGTGTTCTGCGGAGCGGCACGGTAAGGGAGCCAGGGGGTTGGAGAAGGGGCAGGGGGGTTCTGGAGGGGGCAGTCAAGGGACAGGGAGTAGGAGTGGTTGGATGGGTTGGAGGTTCTGGGGGGGCCTGTCAGGGGACAGGGGTGTGGAGAGTGGTCGGAGCAGTCAGGGGACAGGAAGCGGGGGGGGGTAGATGCATTAGGGGTTTTGGGGGGACAGTCAGGGCACAGGGAGTGGTTGGATGGGCATGGGATCCCAGGGGTCTGTCTGGAGGTGGGGGTGTGGATAAGGGTCGGGGCAGTCAGGGGACAGGTAGGGGATGGGGTCCTGGGGGGGCAGTTAGGGCAGGGGTCCCAGGAGGGGGCAGTCAGGGGACAAGGAGCGGGTGGGGAGTTCAGGATTCTGAGAGGGGCAGTCAGGGGGCGGGAAGTGGGAGGGAGTGGATGGGGGCATGGCGGGCGTGGGGCTAGTGCGTAGCTAGGGTGTCCTCTTTTTTGATTGTTGAAATATGGTAACCCTATTAAAGGAGCAGTGGATAAATGCATGAAAGGGGAAGTCTGCCCAGAGCCAGCGCTCGCTTCCTGTTTCTGCTACTGCCAGTGAAACTCTGCGTAAACCTAATGCCCCGGCAGCGACCCTCTGGCAGGGCAGTGGGGGTCTAGTGATGGGGGGTGGCTAGGAGCCAGGACTCCTAGGTTCTCTCCCTGGCTCTGATTGGGGGGTGAGGTCTGGTGCTTAGAGAAAAGGACACAGATTAGAACCAGCCCCCTAGAGGTGAAAGGTCCCTTGTCCCTTCCCCAGCCCATCCCTGGGGCTTTGGGTCTGTGCAGCTCAGGGCCCAGGACAAAGCTCACATTGGCCAACGGGCCGAGCTTCCCTCTCCAACCACAGGATGCTGCGAGATTCCCACCTGGCCACGTGAATCCTGGAGCTGGGGCTTTAAGAAAAGCACCGAATATCGCCAGACCTGCGGTAACATTGCAGGAGTCGGCAACCCCGTGAGCCCAGCCTACCAGGAATAACCCTGTGAAGCATGTTCTGTATGCCAGGGATAAAAGCGAGGGGAGGCTGGCCGAGTCCCGCACTGGGGATGAGTGAGCAGGGTTCTCAGACGGCCACACCAGCTCCTTACCCACAGACTCACCGTTGGCTGGAAGGCAGAAGAAACCCCGGCTGCAGCCAAACACAGATGATGTGTTTAATTAACAGGAGGAAATGAAACCTGACAAGAAACCTTTTGCATAAAGCATATTCCAGTTACATCATATCCACACAGAGAAAAATATTTGTATAAAAATATGGAATGCAACGTTACACCAACCCCATTTCCTCCCAGGCTGGGGGTTCAGCCAGGGGAGGGGCGAAGGTGTCAGGGTCCCTCTCTCCAGCCACTCTGCTCAGGACAGCTCCACAGAGCAGGGTCCGGATGTCCCGGGGTGTTACCAGATGTGCCTGTTACTTTGGGTTTTGCTCATTTATTAGGGTGACTCTTCTGGGGGGTGGGGGTTCTGTACTTCTATCAATGTGCTGCTTGTGTTCTCACACGGAGACCTACTTCTCCCTGCTGCAAGTCCCCTCCCAATGGAGCCACCCTGCAGGGCCTCAGTTCCCCTGGGCTTGGTTCCTCCAGAACCAGACACACACACACACTCTAACTAACTAACAGAGCAAGTCTAAGTGGACGGGGTCAAGCAGCACTTCCAAACTGCCACCCTCGTATGTCCCAGGTTCAGCATGTCCCTATCCCCACTTTCATATCACAATTGTCCTGGCAGTAACCCACGTGATGAGCAAACCGCACAGTATTTTTGAGTGCTACAGGGATCTTTAGCTTAGGTAAGAGGAGCGTTGCTGCAGAGTAAATGGGGAAGCTAAAAACACAAAAGAGTAAAGTTCAGAGAGAGAGAGAGAGAGAGAGAGAAGCAACCAGCTTAACCATAGAAGTTAGTTATTGAATAACAGTGTTAACCACATAAGGAGCCTAAACCAACATAACAGTTACATTATTAAAGGTTACAAAAATCATATATAGAAAACTCTTACCTGCCTGAGATAGAAAAGAAAAGAGAGAGAGAGAGAGAGAGAGAGAGAGAGAGAGCTGGGATCTCACCACTCTATGAAGCTTGAATTGGTCAGGGTTCCCAGGTGATGGTGGTAGCTGAGGGTCCTGAGTGCTGGAGACAGGCAGAGCCCCCAGCACGATCAGTCAGGAGAAGATGAAATCCCAGTGGAACTGATGCAGAGTTTGGATCCATGCAGCACAACACTTACTTGGGCGTGGGTAGGGGTTTTTGGTAGGGAAACAACAATGGTTGAAGGGAGAACACTAGATTTGTTTATGGGTAAACTGATCACTCAAGGGTTTTCTTTAGGCTAGACAATAGGAGCTGATCACTCTTGGTTATGGACGATGTTCCTTCCAGGGAGATCACAATGCAATTAGGGAGCTTCAGTATTTTGGATACAAAGCAAGGATTCATTACTAGAATTGGTCTGATAACTGCTGAGCTGGGGGTGGGCAGGTGTGCGCTCATTAACATCTGGAGGAGAGATCCCCCATGATGCAGTGCTTCCCTGCTTCGCTGGTCCCATAGTTCTGTACCGTTCTTGCTTTGAAATTTCTGGTCTCCAGTCTGTATGCTAATGGAGATGCCTCCTTTTTCCATCTTTGATGCAGATGAGGCCAGGGGAGTTGCCTTAATCTTGTCCTCCTTGTTAGGAGGGGTCTAGGTGTGTCTCCCATGACCTTTCAATTGCTTTCTGTAAGTCTTTCTTCTGATCGGTTTTGGTGCAAGCAGAGGCTGGGGGGTGAAGGTCTTTCATGAGTCAGACAGGCTGGATACTGTGCCCTGGTTCCCCAAGAACACAGAGCTGACTGGTATCAGGGGGTCCAGGAGACGGGGATGGCAGCCACGGCAGCAAAGTGAGTCTCTTTCTTCAAGGCCCACAAAGGGTGGTGGGAGGCACAGCCCGTCCCCCCAGTATTTTATCCAGCAATGAGGCCTCATTTCCAGCACCTCAATTTTGAGTCACGGATTTCTGCTCCCCAACTTCCCCCATGTCCGAGGTGGGCCCCAGCCTGGCCGGTGGGTTCTGTCCGGCGGCTGCTCGGGTTGGACTAATCCCGTCTTTCTGCCTCGCCAACTTTCCCCCCAACGTTCATGTCACGGACTCACAGATCGTGCCCACTCTTGGCCCCGTGCGGTCCGTGGGGGGTGCCCCTTTCAGTGAGACAGCCCTTCTCGGGGGTCCACTCTCTCTTGGGGTCAGGCCCCTCCACCTCCTGGAACCACACCTCTCAGAGCCCTAGCACACCTGTTTCTCGCCGTGGGCCCCATCAGGGAGTCCACTCGCTCTGGACCTTCTGGGCCTCCACCCCCCGAAGGGGTTGATGTGACCCTGTTCTCTAGACCGGAGTGACTCTCAGCCAGCATGAAACAGGAGGGTTTACTGAGAGTTGAACACAGCACAGGAAACTCTCAGGGCCTCAGGCCTGGCCTCCCTCAGCCCAGCACATCCCAGTCTCCCTGCATCCAGGTGGGCTCTGCCTGTTCCCCCTCTCCAGCCCAGAACCCCTCTGCTCCCAGCTGGGCATCGAGATCACCGGCCTCAGGCCCCGCCTCTGTCCATTGTCCTCTCTCCAGGTAAACAGGGTTGTAAACCGGGGCCTCCTCTCCTCGCTTCTGTCCTCTGGCTGGAACCGGCTGGTT